TGGGTTCACTTTCACCGAATGCCATTCAAGGCGATTCCAAAGAAGTTAACTGTGGCACTTATGGCACGAGTCGCTAAAATATCCAACTACTATCCGGCAAAAGGTGGGTTGTCTGCATACTACAGCCTGCACATGATTATGCATCAACGAATGGTTGATGCCTCCAACGAATTTGTCGCTGAGATTGGTGCCTATGTCCACGGATATGGTCATGACACCAAGAATAATATGGCTGCTCGAACGATCGAAGGTGTTTACATGGGACCCACCGACGATATTCAAGAAGGGCATCGTATCTATGATCTGAACACAAAGTGCAAAGCACGACGTGCAAAAATCAAGGTTCTTCCGATGACTGACCAAGTCATCAAGATTATCGAAGAAGACGCAAGATTGGAAGGAGTGACGGAATTGCGCACCTATTCCAAGCGTAATGGTGAGCTAATCCTCGATGGTGATTTACTCGAAGGAGTGGACCCAGATGAACTGTGGGATGAAAACTACATACCAGTAAACGAAATCGAAAGACTGAGTGATGTAACCCTCCGAAATGAAAATATTCCAGATGACGAACTTGATGTTGATCGACTGTCAGATAATCAACTCCATAGCTGTAATGAGAGCCTCAACGCTCTAGCTACCTCTGGAGTATACTGAGCTCAAATCTACGTCGGCTATGGATTGCCTACAATAGGAACAGGTGCCAGTGATGCTGGGCTTCAACCTGCGGATGAACAGTCTCACCACTTCCTATTAGATCTTATTCTACTGCTATTCTTGCCAGAAGTCGATCAACAATGATCTCCACAAGCAGGTACAAAAAATCTCTTCCGGAAGCCGCCTGCGTCAGCTCTCACCAGCTGTCGCGGCGTATAAAGCACATACACACATGTTCTTCACGAACTAGTCACAGAGTAGATCTACCTTCAAGACTTATCCATCTCTCTGTACGTAATCGAACCGTACTTCTGTCCGTGTTTGATATCACCAATGTCCGACTTCACTGTCCGACATGTTTGACTGTTCTTTTCCCTATCAAGATCCCATTTCACCAACAGGCACTTTGCTCACATATGTAATCCGTGAGCATCAAAATCCGGACGACAATCCAACAGCTGATCCTAGTTTCCTTATGCCATCTGTGGAAGATGAGGCAATTCGTCGGAGCTTGCATCGAGAGGACCAGTTTGTCGCTAATAACAAAGCTGTGTGGAATATGTTATACTCAGTATACCATGGCACCGATGCTTGGCCTGTTATAAAGGGATACAAGACTACAGAAAATGGAAGGCAAGCGTATCTTGATCTGGTTGCCCACTATCAGGGTGAGGGTCAACTCAATAAGAGGCGCGACTCTGCCTACCGCATCTTGAATACGACCCACTACAATGGAAAGAAGAATTTTAGTTTTGAAAAATTTGCGGCATGGGTTCTTGGTGCCTTTGAAGATTTGAAATAATTGTGAATGATGTGCCCCTCCAACGTCTGAAACGCGAAGATCGCAATCAATATTCGCATTCCATTATTGATGAAAACTCGGGATTACATATCCCAATGGACTTCCTGAAGCCTATCAGCTTCTTTGCTTGTCGCAAACCTGCGCTGTCTGAACTTGATGCATATGTATCAGTGGAAATGACCAGTTCCGTCCCTTGGGAACCTTATGACCCGGAATCCTCTCGCATCGAACAAAATCTACGACGTGAATATCAAGGGGACATTGCCACTCAACAAATCTATTCTGTTGACCGCTCTGATCCCAACTACCGCTCTATTTGCCCACTCGCTCTTCCTATCGCTTTAGGGGACAGAGTTGAGGCGACCATCAATGGTGTTAAAACCAATGGCAAGAGCTATTTGG